CAGCACTGAATCATCTGAGAGTGAATGCTCGGAAGACATGTTTGGAATTGATTCCGAGATTGATGATGATGTTGCAAAGGATTACTTGGAAGGTATTGGTGGCAGTGAGATTATGTTGGATGCTCACTGGTTGGCAGAACAGTCGATGGATAAATTGGATTTGTCAAGTGATGATGACAGTTCTTCAAGTGATTCGTCTGATCGAAAGAGAGGAAAGTTGAATGGTATTGCTCTACAAAAAGCATCAATGGAATATGGTATGAAGAATTTGACAAGAAGTCGTTCTTCGGGGCATGGTAAGGCTACTCATCCATTGACAATGGATGATCTTATGTTTGTGAAGGATCCAAGAAGTCTTTCGGGGAAGAAAAATAAGAAGAAACAGGTGGCTAAGTTTCTTCCACAGTCTTGGCCTTCAGGGGCACGGAAGAGCAAGAATTCCCGTAATTTTCCTGGTGAGAAGAAGAAGCACCGAAAAGAATATATTGCTGTGAAGCGTCGGGAGAGAATGTTGCAGCGTGGTGTTGATCTTGCTGACATAAACTCTAAATTAGAGCGGTTTGTTCTGGAAAACGTGGACATGCACTCTTTCCAGCGTATGCATAATCGAGATTGTTCTCAGGTAAGGAGATTAGCAGATGTATACCGCTTATCAAGTAGCTGCACTGGTTCTGGAAAGAAAAGCTTTGTGACGGTGACCCGAACATATCAGACATGTTTGCCATCTGCAAGCGATAAACTTCGCATTGAGAAGCTAATAGGAGCAGGAGATGAGGATTCTGATTTTGCTGTCAGCGGAGGGGTAAAAGTGAAATCAGGAAGTTTAGATAGGAAGAACGTAAGAGACTCAGCCAAAAAACGAATTACTAGAGAAGAACGGGAGAGAAACAAAAGCAATGGAAAGAAGAGTTCATATGCTGAGCAACCCGTATCATTTGTGTCGTGTGGTGTAATCGATTCTGAGATAGCTGTTGCAAAGACCTCTTATGATGAAAAAGACGCAAAACAGGTGGCTGAAACTACCCCAGGAGCCTCTGATGGAGCAGATATTGGAGCATTTGAGGTACACACCAGAGGCTTTGGATCCAAAATGATGGCGAAAATGGGATTCATCGAAGGAGGTGGTCTAGGAAAGGATGGTAAGGGGATTGCACAGCCAATAGAAGCTGTTCAACGCCCAAAATCACTTGGTTTAGGTCTGGATTTCTCTATTAGCACTAAAGACCCGAGTTCATCGAGCAATAACGCTGAAAGGAACAGACCTTCTTCCTCTGGGAAACATGTGAAACGCATCTCCCATGACAATGGTGGTGGCTCTGGTTCAGCAAGAATTAGAGACAAAAGATTGGGAGCCTTTGAGCAGCACACAGCAGGTTTCGGTTCGAAGATGATGGCGAGAATGGGTTTCGTGGAAGGCTCGGGTCTGGGAAGAGAGTCACAAGGCATAGTCAATCCACTGGTCGCTGTCAGGCGTCCCAGGGCGCGTGGAATAGGCGCCGAAGGCTAAAGATTTTTCGGTCAAGGTGTGAACAAGAAACACTAGTAGTTCCTTTAATGTTCATTTTCAATCTTTCAGTATGTGGCTAATACTTTCAGTTATGGTTTTTAAGACCTTGGGAGCAGCTTTGTTGTTATCTTAACATCAATGTTGTTGATTAATAAACGAATCCTTTATTTGAGTTAAGTAGAAAAACTAGACACGAGAAAGTCAACATACTGAGAAGAACAAGGAAACTACAAAAGGTTATATTCAAGTCAACGTGTACTTTTTAGAAGAAAAATAAAGTAAAGACGATATGTAGAAATACAACTATATTAAAAATGACCTTACTTTGGAAAGCAACTCATGAAGAGCATTGATGAAAACACCAAACATAGGAGATTCCGATAATTTAAAAACACAAATCATCCAAAAGTCTGGGAATTCGATTTTAAAACTGAATAAAAAAGGGATAACAACTCTGATCATTAATTGTAGAGATCATCATCGT